GCTTCGACAGTAATGTAACAAAAATTCTCCAATTGCCAAGCGTCAATTAATCTTTAGACTTCTCCACCCGGATTTTTAAATCTTAGAACCGAAATTACTTTCTTAGTTGCAGGCAGAGTATTGAAACAAATGTTAGCCTTGTAGTTTACAAACTTTTGATCATCATAATCCACCTTTCTCTTTCCCCTGCTCATTCTCGGGGCGGTGCCATGGTAATCTAAGAAAATTTGATTAAATCCAAATAAATTCCTAAAATTCCAAAAATCACAATGTGGAATGTTTTAAACTTAAATCTACTAAGTAAGAGTTCTTCACCAAAGGATTTTCTCAAAATTTTCTCCAAAAATTTCAAAATTTTGGATCTCGGCAATGTAAGATAAATCCTTGGTGAAAAAAAAAATTTTTGGGTTCAAAATATAGCTCTTACCAAGAGAAGATGAAATCTGAACTTCTTTTGCCTTAAAATTGCCTCAAATCCAAGCAATAGTAAGCCCTAGGTGCACAAACCGGAGGTTGAAGGTGAACAAAAGGGTAATAATGGTGTTTTTACTGTACAAATCATGAATTTTATGGGTTTTGGGTACTTTTGGGTTGAGGGTACTGTCGGCACCCATTCTGGCGCCAGTGGCCATAAATTCAATTTTTCATTTTTTACAATTTTCAACTTTCTTTCAATTCACTCCAAAATTTAATTAGTCTTTTTCAACACTAATTTTCATCTTAAAATAATTCACACTAATTTTCATCTTAAAATAATTTTCATCTTAAAATAATTCACAAATAACACTAAACTAACTTTTATATATAAAAATCCAATTATTAAAAATACACTTTTCTAATCACACTTTCACATATATAAAACAAACTAAATTATAATTAAATTAAAATACGGCGACAAAAAAAAGCCACAACACTAGAACGCTGACACAAAACTATATACACAACCAAAGTTTATAAAGTTCTAAAGCAAAGTAAAGTAAAGTAAAGTAAATCCAACACAATCACATTAAAAACATAATTACTTTATAAAAAACATAATTACTTTAAAATAGTAGAGAGTCCAACTTTTTCAAGTATTCTGCTTCATCTTCAGTACTTTCTCCTCCTCTAATATCTCCCATAAACAGGTAATGGACATACATACTGTAGAAAGGTCGGTACGGGAATTGATCAGTCAAATTTTCATCGATCCATCCATTTTTCTTGAATATGTGCACCAATCCCGCTTCAATTGTCCTAGTATGATCAAAGTTCTCCTTCATCCTCCAATCTAAGTGATAAAAAAGGTAGTTAAGATTTCCTACTACAGTCATAATACTCTGAAGTTCTCTTTCGATTTTCTTCATTTTCTTCTCCAAAGCTACTGAACTTCCAACCATTTGTGGCATTAATGCCGTTGAAGCATGTGATGAATGATCCAAAATAATATTTAATTCTTCATTTTCATTCCCATTATAATTGTCATCAATAGGAATCATGGACTCCGAGGGTAATAATACTTTCTCCCAACTTTCATATGGCACTTAAGATTGACTGCATAGTAAGAAAATTGTAGAAGGATGCCCAGTCCATGTATAGGTCCATTCATAATAATACCCATAATAGATTTGAAAATAATCGATCCCACATCAATGGGCTTTCCATTTGAATGCAATAGTTTAAAATTGCACTTTTTTTTGTAGCTCTACTAATCTTCATTATAGGGAGTAATTTTACAGAGATGAAGAAATGTCATTGTTTTCATATTGGATTAAGTAGTGAAGCGGAGAAACTAGCGTATCCCTCATCTCTGATTTCCCAATTATCATTTTCATCCTTCAGAAAATGATATACATCTTGCATTATATCGCTCATTGGGATAAAATTTGTTTAATGTCAGATTGACACGTTTTCTATCATATACAAGTCATTAATTTGAGGTGGAGTAAATGATACAACCTTACCTCGAATGAAGACAACTCCTTAGGTAATTCCATGTAAGTTAGCATAGAATTCCTTTACCACTGGTACAACAACTGCAGTGGTAGTATAACAAAGAACTTCCCAACATCTCTGTACAATGATTTTATCAATATGAGAACTTGGATTAATCAATCCATGATTGACAAAGCCTCTTTCCTTGATAATTCTATTTTTTTGTAATGACTTTGTTGTATAATCTTTGCGCGTCACAACTAATAAACTTTCTTCTATTGAAAACTCCATACCTGGAAGTATTTCTGGAATTAGAAGCCATGTATTTCAAAATTTTGACATTTCTGATCGTCCAAGGTAGTTTTTAGGCCTTTAAAAACACCTCCCAACGGTTATTTTGAAGTGTAATCAACCAAAGTTCGCCAAATTTGTCCTGAACACACGAAACTACTTGGGACGCCGTCAGCACTCCCGATGGCACTATCAGCACCATAGCTTGTGTAGATGGGCGTCGTCGACGCTCATTCTGGTGCCGTCGGTGCCAGAGGCCAAAATTGCATCTCTTATTTTTTGTTCTATTTGATTCCAAATTTTCCTCCAATACCAATATTTGTCTTAATTTATGATATATAAAATTGTGTAGGATTAAAAAAGATTATTATTTCTTAATATATAAAACACTTATTATATATATATATATATATATATATATATATACTCTGCTAGAGTTTTTGGTAGGATGAAGACTAGTGGCTGTTGGCTTCATTTGGTGAAAGAAGATTTCACTGGTTGTTCTTCATTTACTGCTCCTTTCAATTTTTCATTGGCACTGTTACATTGATGGCTGTTGTTACATCTGTTCCATTTACAGCTCCTTTCAGTGGCACTGTTACATTGGTTTTTCATCTTTATTTGTTTATTGAAAACTGTGGGGCTATCTTTACCCACTTCTTCTGGTCTTTGGGTTTACTTCTCTGTTGGGTTCCCCTTGGTGAAGAAGACTTCACTGGTTTTCTTGTTTGCTGTCCCTTTGGGTTCCTGAAGTGGCTTTGCCTGACCTCCTGCTTCCTTTAGGACAACTATTTGCTTTTTAGCTAAGTTAAAAAGTTTCTGCTTGTTTTTGAAGGGTGATGGCTTCTTCCATTGATATCTTCACTGATTCTCAATGAACAAAAGCAACTTATGCTGGTGTGGTTGGAAAATCAAATGAAATTTTACAGGACTATGAACAATTAGTATTCCCACAGGAATTCCATGACACTGCTGCTGGAAAAGGCTGTAGCTCTTGTATTCACCCTCTTGGGTCTAAAGAAGGAGAAACAGTTGTGTACTTCACTAACAAGGAAATTGATTCATTAAAGGAAGAAGTTAAACTCACTTTGGTGGGAAAATTTCAGCTAGGACATCCTAAAATGGAGCTAGTCAGAAGTTTTTTTGAATCTCTGAAGTTTATAGGCAATTGGAAAATTAGGCTATTGGATGGGAGGCACCTCCTAATTCAGTTGGTAGCTGAGGAAGACTATGCAAGATTGTTTGCTAAACAATCTGTTATCATTGCTGGAACAAATATTAAAATTATAAAATGGACTCCAGGATTTGATCCTAGTAAAGAACCTCCTGTGGTCCCCCTCTAGTTCAAGCTACCTGGCCTCCCTCTCCCTTATTTCAAGCTTAATGCTCTATTTAACATTGGTAGAGCATTAGGTACACCATTAAGAGTGGATGCCACCACATATAATAAGGCCAGACCTGGCCTTGCTAGAATTCAAGTTGAAAGAGACATCACACTCCCTGAACTGAAGGGAATTTGGATTGGATCTGATTCTGAAGGGTTCTGGTAGGATATAATAGCTGAACAAAAACCTTACTATTGCCAACATTGCAAGATGTTTGGTCATACTTTAGATAAATGTTATAGATTACATCCCCCAAGTTGGAAAATGGCAGGAAGAAACCAAAAAGTTACTGAAAGAATTGTAATTAATGCTACAAGGAGTATTATTGAAGAAATAATGTTAGAAAATAGACAAGAAACAAATCAAAGTCTGGAAGCATCACCCCCAAGAATCAATGAGGTTCCATCAGATGCTGATCCACTTGGAGAGCTATCAGAACCAAACGGCCATGATGACACCGCACCACACAGATCAATCAGAAAGGAAGATATTGAAGTTACAATCATCACACCTACATCCCCTTTGCAAGCTGAGAAGGGGAAGCAAATCATCACAGATATCCATGATAAAGCTCCAAAGGAACCAATCATTACTGAAATGAAACAAACAATTGAAGAAGATTGATAAATTAAAACAGCAAGGAGAAGAAGAAAACCAGTGACAGAAGTGCAGAAATTACAATTAGGGGTACACTATATGAAGGCAGAAAGAGCAAGAAATAGTTCTCCAAATCATAGAGGAAGAACTAGATCAAGATCTCAGCCTTCCCCACACCCTCCACCTAATGATTAGTCTACTTTGCTGGAATATAAGGGGGATGGCTAATCCTCTTTCCC